AAGAGAAATGTCTAAGAAATAAATTATTCCAAAATAGGTAGAAATGTCAGCCTTCATTTCCAACCCCAGCACAGCACATGGTGCCCTGGGAGCGTGGGCATGAGAGCTCCATTGTTCCCAGTATTCCCAGTGGTGCAGAGGTGCTGCTTGCCCAGGGCCAGTAACTGAGTAGTCAATGAAGGGGCCAATTAGCAGCTCTCACCTGGCACCGAGAGGCATTTGGGTAGTTCTCAAAGTTCTCAAAGTGCCGTGAACTGCCAGGAGAAGGGCAGTGGGAAAGGTCTGGAACGCAGGGGAGCTCTGAGAGCCACGTCTCCTGGCTCGGGCAGCACGCCGGGAGTCAGGGTTACAAAACATGGACACCCCGTGTCACATACCGGGGTCAGTGTCACCGGCCCCGTGGGTAGGGTTACACCAGCTCAGCCCCGCAGAGGAACTGTGCCTGCAGCCCTGTGGAGATCATCCCACCCCTGCCCCCACTGCCCGGGCATTCCCAACCCTCCTCTTCCATCCCGAGCATCGCACCCAATGTCTAAAGGAAAAAAAAAAAAAAAAAAGACTTGCTCAAGACCTGCTGCTTTTTCCACGGTGAAGCAGAAACAGCAATTATCTGGTTCAGTCTGGTGCTGCTGGCCTGGAACATGCCATGACAACGTGTTTCTCGTTTCAAAGCCTCTTTTGTACTAGGACACAGTTCAAGGGATCTTGCAATGCCTGCATTTGTAAACACGCCGCACTTGCAGCTACACGCTCTGCAGATGAAAGCCAAGGCGGAGCACCAGGGCCCTCTCCCTGTGTCACGGCCGGGCACCGGGAGCTCCCCCTGCTCCCCCGCCGCAGCAGGACGTGCTGAATCAGGGCCTCGGCAGCCCCGGGGCTGGGCAACCATGCGTGGTCCTCAAAAGTCATGGCACGTTCAGAAAAATGGAGTCCTGGAAAAGGGAGGGGGAAAAAAATCACAGCAAAAAATGTGCGTCACTGCAGATTATTTTAGGCCTTGGTCCATGCATAATGCAAATAAGCAGCTCCCGGGGTACATGCCTGTAAAAACCATCCAGTCCCACAGCACTCGGTTATAGGAGCTTTCCAAACAGGTGGTGAAAAGCTAAAATTATGTGTCTGTGTGTCCTCACCGGGGTTAGGAAAGGCCCTGGCTCCCGGGAAGGCTCTTCCCCTGCCTCCACAGGGCTGGTATGAAACGGGACCGAGACATTAAAAAATTCAGGAGCGTTTCTTTCCTTTTGAGGCAATCCTGGGCTCCCTCTCACCAAACCACGCTCAGCACCCCCACGGCACCCTTTGATCTGCCTGAACCCGCTGCCCCCTCGCACCCGCTCTTCACACACCCTGACTTTATATTTTTGCTTTTTCTAAAAATCGTTGTATCCTCCTCGCCTGACTTCAAGGAGTCGCTCGGGAAGCCCTATTTATGGGTTGAAATGCTGCTGAAAGAGTTATTGCCGTGTTATTCAGCTGTTGTGCCAAGCCTGCATGGGGATCGGGTTTCTGCTGAAAGGGTGCCAGGCACGTCTTTTTCCAGGAACCAGCAGCCGTATTTAGCCTCCGGCTGCACATGAAAGACTGCAGTCGGAAACGTGACATTGTGTCAACATTTGAGGCAGGTCAGAGCTGGGTGAGACCATGAAAACAAGTCCAGGGAACTCTGCACACCCCGCCGGGGCTGCCCGGCGCTGGCGCCGTGCCGGGGGTCGCCCCTCCATCGCCCTCCTCCCTGGATGCCCCCTTGGCTCCGGGATGCAGCGCCGGGCTCTGCCCGCGGGGAGTGCGCAGGGCAGGGGCTGTTCGGGGTCCCCGCCCGGTGCCACCACAGGGGCAGCCCCTGCCCCACGACGTGGCCGGTGCCTGCTCTGCCCCACAGAACTCACCTGTCCCGCTGGCACCCCGCCAGGGCAGCAGAGAAAATCCCTGGCCCGTAATTATCCTTTGCTTCCTGGATAAATGTTCTCTCTTCCACTCTTTTTTTACAATTCTCCCCCCCCCCCCCAACCCCCCCTCCATAACTGAAGATCTGGGGTTGCTGTGAGTCCTCCCACCATGGGACAAAGTGGATCAGGAGATGGAGACCGAAGGGGAGTAAGAGCTGTGAAAAGGAGCCAGAAATCCAGCGGGTCCTGAGGCTGGAGGTGCCCTGTGCTGAGCACCAAATGGGGGTTACTACAGTTGCCTTCAGTGAGATCAATATTTAGGCCTAATTAAAACAAACACAGCATGAACGCCAGGAAGTGTAAAGGCCCCAAACACATTAAGCAGCCCAGCACTTTTTTCTAGTATTACTTAAGCTAACATTTCTTTGAGCTAATTCTAACCACAGTCTAACAGCAGCCCCTGGGCGCCTGCCTCTCTCTGCAGGGTCCCAGAGGTGCTGCAGCCCAGGACTGAGCAAAGCTGGACCAGTTGGGCCCTTAAACACTCCCCACGTTTTGTGCTTCATCTGTGAAAACCCAAAATCCCCCCCTGAAGTGCCTGTGCCCCATCCCCACAGAGGCAGCACTGCCAGGAAACCGAGTCCTCCCACCCATCCCTTCGCTTCTCCCATCTTGTGCCTTTGGGAGAGGTTTGGGATCAATAACATCTTGTGCAGAGGCCATATGTGGCTCATACCCCCAGCCCTTGCAGCAGCAGTGAGTGAAGGCACGGGGCTGCTCCACCACCTGCTGAAAGTCCCAAACCAGGGACACCCGGGACATGTGGAGGTAGCAGGGATTGCTCCCAGCCACGGCAGGACCTGGCCCTTGCACCCCTCAGCCTCAAGGGGCCGGTGGGCACCGTCCTGGCAGTCCTGTGGCAGCTCTGACACAGGCTGAGGGCACTGGTAAAGCAAAACCAGTTTGCAACAAGCCCATTTTCCACCAGGTACCAGGCAAAGCCTGTGGAGACGCTACATCCTCCATGGCGAGGGGCTGCCTCCTCCCCATGGAGCTTGGGGCCCAGGAGCCAAATGCCAGACACAGGGAGCACAACGTGACATCAGGAGAGAGCAGGAAAGCCAGCCAGGCTCTCCTGGCACCTCCTGCGGGTTGGAAGCAAAAAAAATCCCTGGAGGTGCCAAGGGAGTTAAAATAAATAAATATCTCTGGTGACAGGGGTAATGGGACCCTGAGCTCCTTCGGGCACCCACGGCAGAGGAGACATGGGGGCAGCAAGGAGAGTCCTGCTCCCCCCTGCACCCCGAAATCCCCACTTCTGCCTGCACCCCGAGATCCTGCTCCCCTCTGCACCATCCCATTGCCATCCACTGCTGGACCAGACCACATAGAATGACCCTGCTCAAATATTTCAAAGCACAGGAGGCAAACCCTTATCTTCCACAGGAAAAGAATTATTTTATTAAGCATTTTTAAACAACTACTTAACATTTACTCAAGATAAAAATATGTACAATATCCCACCTTGAAGGCAACTCCAAAATATAAACACTGTACCTCTCCCGAGAGAAAAACGGAATATTCTTCTCTTAAAAAAAAAAAAAAAAGACAACCCAGAAACAAGAATACATTCATATTTCTCACTTCTTTATGCTCAAGTAGTTATACAAATAATAAACATCTGAAACGTTTTACCTTTTAATATATTTATATAATATATATATATTTATAACAGGATTTTACAAATAAAGGCAACAACTGTTTACCAAAAAAACCAAAAAAACAACAACAAAATAAACGTTAGAACACAATCTGCAATCAAGCATAGTGCATCTCAACAGCTGGTGCAATGGGAGGGCGACAGGAGGATCCAGACAACGGGGTTCTGGTCACCAGTTCTCAAAACCAGTCAGAAAAAAACCACCAAAGAGCACTGCCTTTTGCAGTGAAGTTTGGGTTTTTTTCCTTAAAAAAAAGGCTAAATGGGAGATGATGTTCCTCTGCAGAGAAAGCCCCTTGCAGTTTAACAGTGTCACCAGCCAACCCCTCTCTCTCTAACACAGGGATGTGAGCCAGGGTTTGCCAAGGAGACTGAGGAATTCAGATGCTCAAACCCCGCCGGGATCGGACTCCTCTGAAAATCCCAGCCTTTTCATTTTCCAAAGGCACTGACAGGGGCACATTCAGCAGGGATTGTGCTGCCCACTCCAGCTGAACTGCTCCCTCTGGCACAGAGCTCCCCCCTGGCCCAGCCAGGAGCAGCTGGGCCGGGAAAACCTGGAGATTCCCGACAGACCCTGTGAGACTGTACAGCAGCAGTGGGAGAGGCCGGAGTCAGGTGCAACAAGCCAAGTGATCCATGGGATATTTCCTCCCCAACCCGGCCCAAAGTAGCAGCTCAAGTTACAGGAAGGGGCGCAGGTTAATTGATTTATTAGATGTATGCCATGGAAAGCTCCAAGCAGCAGCTACCTTTTATTTCTGAAAAACAGATAAATGCATCAGCAAAGAGAAACCCATCTTAGGTCTACCTGACCCTGCATGACCAAGCAGTGACCACTGCCCTGCTCCTCCTGGTGCCACTGCCACCACCACAGTGACCACTGCTCTGCTCCTCCTACACTCCTGGTGGCATTGCCACCACCACCACACCACGCCTGGGGTCACTCAGACACTGGTGACCAGTGGAGCACCCACCAGTCCAGCTGGAACTGGACAGGGAGCCGTTGCCTTGGGAGCCGTTCAGGGAAGTACCGTGTTTCACGTCCAGGTATTCTGGATGTGCAGACCCTCAAACCAAGTCTGCCCAATGGAATATTTTTTCACAGCTTTGCAGTACAGTCGCAGCTGACCGAGTCAACTGTTGCTCTGTAGATGTGGAGAGGGAAGAAGGGCAGGGGTAAAGCACAAACCCCTTCTTTTTACTTTTTAATCTTTTGGAAGAAGTTGTGAATCGCGGAGCTGGGCACATCCTTCATCCTTCTCCAAGCTACCTGACAAGTCAGAGAAAAGGGGATTTAGCTTCCTATGTGCAGTGAACCTTATCCCCACACCTCAGTCCAGCCAATATAGAAAAGGGAAACAGTCTCAAACTAAAAAAAAAAAAAAAAAAAAAAAAAAAAAAAAAAAAAAAGAAAAAAGAAAAAAAACCAGTCACACTGTGCTTAGTCTTTGGTTTCCAAGTTCAAAGGAGGAATCTGCTTCAAAGCTTGCAGCAGAGCTGAGGAGTCGATGGGGGAATGGGCCGGGACAGGAGAAGGGAGTCTCTGGGGCATCAGCAGAGGGGGGGAGATTTTGTCGGGGCTCATGAAGCCCGTGAGTGCTGCGGCAGAGGCCGGGAGGCTGGGGTACAGCACGGGCACCGAGGCCGGGTACCAGCACTTCTCCAGCATGGGCAGGTAGGCGGTGGCGGACGGCGGGATCAGGTAGAAAGGCAGGCACAGGGGAGGCTGGTGAGCGTGGGGGCCCAGGAAGCTGCTGGAAGAGCCCATCATGTCGCTGCCAAAAGGGCCCTCGTCCTCCGGCGACTCCAGCCTGCTCCTTTTGGCCGGCGGGTCCTCAGTCTCTTGCTTAATAGAGCTTATTCTCTCCTGCACGGCGTACTTGAGGTCGGTATCCTTTTTGAAATAGGGCTGCTCGGGTTTGGAGTCACTTTTCTCCAGCTCCCCCCCGTACCCGCTGTCCGTGTCCGTGTCGCTGCCGCTCTGCTCCCCGCTGGAGTGAGCGAATGTCCGCTGGATCACGGGCACGCAGTTCTTCCCGTGGCCCTCGCCCGCCGTGCTCAAGGGCACGGGCTTCTCCTTCAGGTCCACCATTTTGGGGGGGATGTCCCCGGCCTTGCGGGCGGCCCCGCCCTGCAGCACCTCGCTGGCCATGCGGTGCAGGTGGCTGACCAGCTGCGACGACTTCAGCTCCTTGCCGTTCTCGTGCTTCGCCAGGTATTGCAGCATTTCCTTGGCACACATCTGGAAACCCGATCGAAACATTTCCTGGCTGGAATCAAGGTTTCTCGATGACAGGTCACCTAAGGGAACATTAACAGAAAGAAATTAAAAATTAACAACATGCTAAATAGTTCCACTTCCATTTCTGAGGAGGACCGGAGATGATATTGAACCTGGGGTACAGCACAGCCAGAGGGGACTGCGATGGTCAACCTGGACTCTAGGAACAGAAATCCTGGGATTCCTGCAAAAATGGACATTTTCACTGGAACATCCACCTGTCCACTTTTACATAACAACTTTAAGCTTATTTTTCATTCTGTATTTACTGTAAAATCCACCTTCAACAGGTGCTGGAGTACAGAGCACAGGAGTGAGTCAAGCTGTGCCTTCCCCAGGAACCACCCCTGGGACCTCAGGGTGCACCTCACCCTGCACCTCCGGGCAGGGAGCTCCGGGAGCTGCTCCACCAGCAGCTCCACCAGCCCCGGGCAGCTCCACCACCCTCCCTGTGGCTGCCGGGGCAGGGACGGCTCCCCCAAAAACTCAGTTTTACTTTATCAGATTCACGTGAGTGCCACATGTGAAAACAGGAGGAGGAAGTATATCTAAAGCTGATAAGCTGAAACACCGAGTCCCTTCTGTGTGCAGAGCACAGGCCAGCTCAGTTATTTAGAAACTTAAAAAAGGTGTGTACAAAAAGCAGATTTGTTTTCAGAAAAAAACACCCAAACAAACCCAACTGGGTTATGTAAAGCTCATGAACACAAACGGGAAGATTTAGGTAGCTTTGGAGAGAACCTCACAGCAAACCTGGGCTTTAACTACAACTACTTAAAACCCAATTTGATTGCAAACAACCCCACAGGGCACTGACTGCCGTGAGAAATGCATCTTTTTTTGCAACAGCTCGTAAGTAAAGCCAGAGAAAATGACAGCGATGAAAGGCCAGAGCTCCTGCCTCCTCCCTTCCCAGGAACGAGGTGTCACAACCGCGTTTCACAGCCTCCCCAGAGAGTCCCTCACACACAGGGGCTCACACGGTGCCGCAGGAACACTCACCTGCCTGCAAACCGTTCTGCAGAGCGATGATCTTCTGCTGCTGCTGCTCGATGAGATTGGTCAGTGCCTTCACGTGCTTCAAGGTGAGCTCCAGCACCACAGCCTTCTCCAGGTGACCTAAGGTCTGGGAGCACAGGGACAGGTTGGCGCCTGCTGCGGGGTTGGACATGCAGGCAGCAGCCTGTGGGGTTGCCGGAGCCCTCCCAGGAGCCGAGGGAGGACGGGCACGGTGTGATCCTGAGCAGTGCAGGACTATAACCGACAACATTCCAGGAAATAAGTTAAAAAGCGGGCTCCGGGAAAGGCTCTCACAGAACCCTATGGGTATTTTCGGACCAGCCGCATAGCTCAGGAGAAGGCTTTTATTTATCCGTTCTGCTGCCCCTGCTGGCACCGTGACTTGAGCCCGGGAGAGCCCTGGGGAGCCCGGCCGGGGGCTCCTCTCGCCCGGCAGCGAGGGGGGGTGTCCGGCGGGCGGTTCCCGTAGGGACCCACACTCATAGAGCCACCCGAGAACATCCCTCCCGAGAAAGTTTGGGATGCGCTTACAGCCCGTCCGGGTGTGCAGCACCACGGAGCGAAAACACAACCCTCCCCAAATCCGCGGCGAAACGGCAGCAGAGCCCCGTCCATCCCCCGGCCCCGGCGCTCCGCCCGCCGCTCGCACCTACCGTGAGCTTGAGGTGCTCGGGCAGCAGGTCCTTCAGCTGCGCGATGCACTCGTTGATCCTGTCGCGCCTCTTCTTCTCGATCAGCCGGTGCGGCAGCTTGTAGGTCTCCTGCGGGGCCGGGGGCAGCGGGTCAGCGGGGGGAGAGCCCGCACGGCCCCGCTCCCGCTGCTCCTCCCGCCCCGTGTGTCCCGGGGAGCGGCCGATTCCCATTCCCGCTGCTCCTCCCGCCCCGTGTGTCCCGGGGAGCGGCCGAGCCCCCGCCCCGGGAGCGCTGTCACTGCCACTGCCGGGGCGCGCACTCCCCGGTTTATCCCGCTAACCCACAATTTTACCTTATCACCCCCCAATTTACCCGTCCGCCCTCAACTTACCTTGTTGTCCTCGCTCCTCTTCAGCCCCCTCCGGGGCTTGTACACCTGGTACATGTGCGCGAAGTCCAGCCTGCACGGGGGAAAGCAGAGCAGCGCGTTACCCCCTGCCCGGAGCCGCTCCCCCCGCCCGGCCGGACACCCCGGACCCCCCGGACCCCCCGCTTACCCCGGCAGGTCCGCGCCGTCCAGGGCGGGCAGTTTGCCCAGGCAGGCGGGCGGGGGCTGCGCGCTGGGGATGCGCTCCATGGCGGGGGCGCGGGCGGTGCGGGGCACGCTCAGGGGCTGCGGGCGATGCCGGCGCCGCTGCTCCTGCTCCTGCTCCTGCTCATGCCGCGCCCGCAACGCGCGGGCTGAGGAGCGGCGGGGCGGCCGCGGGCCGGGTTAAATGCGGGCGAGTGGGTGGACGGGAGCGACGTGCGGAGCCCTGTGACCGCCGGCACGTCTGGCGGCCCCGGCGCCCCCGCCCCGCCGTCACATGAGCCTCACGTGGCGGCGGCGCGGGGGGAGGCGGGGCCGCCCGGACCGGCCCCCCCGCCCGCACGTGTGTCCCGGCGCGGCGGCACCGCCGCTCCTGTCCCGGTGTCCCCGCCGCTCCCGCTGTCCCGGCGGCACCGCCGCTCCTGTCCCGGTGTCCCCGCCGCTCCCGCTGTCCCGGTGTCCCCGCCGCTCCCGCTGTCCCGGCGGCACCGCTCCCCGCAGGCGGCAGCCGCGGTGCCAGCGCTCCCACCGTGTGCGCTGAGATCGGGATAAAATAAATCATTCCCCAAAGCGACAGAGGCGCAAACACGGACCCGGGGAAACCGGCGGCTGCGGAAGTTTGGAAGTGTGGGGAAAAAAATAACTGAGAGTCACTAAAATGTGGCTCTGGGGAAATGTCGGTGCTGCGGGGAAGTTTAGGGCTGGTGGGATCCCATCACTGGAAGTGTTCAGGGCCAGGTTGGACAGAGCTTGGAGCAACTTGTTCTAGTGGAAGGTGTCCCTGCCCGTGGCACAGGGGTGGAATGAGATGGGCTTTAAGGTCCTTTCCAGCCCAAACCATTCTGTGATTCTATGAGGAATTTTCAGGAGGAAATCCTTCCCTGTGAGGCTGGGGAGGCCCTGGCACAGGTTGCCCAGAGAAGCTGTGCCTGCCCCTGGATCCCTGGAAGTGTCCAAGGCCAGGTTGGACGGGGCTTGGGGCAACCTGGGCTAGTGGAAGGTGTCCCTGCCCATGGCAGGGGGCGGCACTGGATGGGCTTTAAGGTTCCTTCCAACCCAACCCATTCCATGATTTCCCATGCTTGCACCAAGGATCTGCAGCTGGTGGACACTGTTGCAAAACCCTGAGTGATGATAATGGTGTGTGAGTACCTGCCAAGGCAAAGCTCTCCTGAAGGGCCGTGGTCACTTCCCTGCTGAATGCTGAGCAAGTAGAGGCAGGCTCATCTGATAAAGGGTGCACTTACCCAGATAAGGAAATAGCAGAACTCCAGCCCAGAGCCACTGCTATCGCCTGGAGAGTCCTGGCCTGCTCCACCTCGGGAGGAATCCGAGGGCAGCAGGTACTATGTGAGAGCACAAAGATTTTATGCAGGCATTAACAGCGCAGCACTGTACCAGTGACACAGAGCTCCCTGAAAGCAGATGCTTGGGTTGTCCCACTCAGTGTGGTCTTCTCGGTGTTTGGCAGCTGAGCCTGCAAACCTGGTGATTATGGCCAGGATTATGGAATCACAGACTGTTTGTGTTGGAAGGGACCTCAAAGACCATCTAGTTCCAACCCCCTGCTATGGGCAGGACCTGCTCACCAATCTTGAGAGTCGCTGTGGTGCTGCAGCCCCACCACAGAGGAGGGGACGTGGGGACTGAAAATGGAGCACTGAGTACCAAAGGATCACAGCTCTGGGCTGTGAGCCTCTCACAGCAGAGCTCGTCTTTCCTTCAGGCACTGAAAAATTCAGCAGTAAACATCAGAAACATGGGAGTGCTGTGTTTGTCCCTGATGCAGCTCAGGGGACCATAACCAGCCTCAGTAACGAGCCCTGGATCAGACAGTTCGTTCTCTCTCTGCCCTGAAGACCTAAGCTGTTATTTTCCAAACAAAGGGTGAAAAAAACATGAACAATTTTTCATCTGTCCCATCACTGACCCTCTGTCCAAGGCAACAGAAATAATTAGAGCTTGCTGAAGCTGATTGCTAATGAAAAATGAGGTTTGGGGCCAACCTGCTCTTCATCTGAAGTTCGGGCTCTGAGAGTACGTGGACAGCTTCATGCCCGTGGATTGTCTGACTCCTGCATGCTCTTTGAGATATTCGGTACATTCCTGCAGTGGGTGGTGAGCCACAGATCAGGGTCAGAGGTAATCCCCAATTATTTAGCCCTTTTACTGTTCTCGTGCTTGCCAAACAATTCTCCATATCAGGATTTGCTCATGACCTTAAGGGACGTTGCCAAGGATTTAGGAGTCCCCCTAAAAGGAGGATCCAAATGAAGTTATTGCATTCTTGCGCATCAAGTTAGATTGCTCGAGAGTTGAGTTACATTTTCCTGGGGATCAGTTTTCAGAAGCGAGGGCTGATGCAATCATCAATTTGCCTTCTCGCTTGTGTTTGCTGAATTATTTCTGTGTGGAGGGTTCCTTTACAACGTATGATTCAGGCAGTAGCAAAATGTTTAGAAAGGCTGAATTTCCTGAAGGCACTGGTGCAGCGGGTCTCCCGAGCACTCCTCCAGAAGGGCTGGGAGTCACAGGACCGCGGCAGCGCGTGGCCAAGGGGATTTGCAGTTATTTACAGAGGCAGGAGAACACGAGGGGCTGGGGGCTGCTTTGAGGGTGGGCTGGAGATCCGAGCCCCAGGATCTGCCCCTTCCCTGGGACTGTCCCCTTCTGACCACAGCGATTTGGGGGAAACGTTCCGAAAATCCCTGGCACCGCCGTCTGATCGCAGCCTATGTGGGCAGCGCCGGGAGTTAACAGATGGGTTGTGGATTCGAGCTTACGATAAGGTTACTGAGGGTGGTTTTGTTTTAAAATGTCTCTTACTTAATATATCCATGAAGGCCAGGCATGTGCCTGTGGCCTGTAATCAAATCGCTGACTCTCCCTCTCTCTCATTTCCAGCAATCCCGTTTCGGGTTACTGGCACCGGAGGTGAAAGAACAGCCACGGCCCGGCCGGGCTGGACGCTGTGCCGGGCAGGATGCACTCAGCCCTCCATCCTGACACCCACTGCTCTCTGCAGTGGGAGTCTTTCAAGGAGCAGGGGAGCAGGGTGCTCTCCTGAGCTCAGTAAACGTGACGGCTCTTCTTCCGAGCCCGGCAGCTCTCCAGCTGCAGCACCCAGCTCTGGGATGGGTGGGAGGCAGTGGGTGCTGTCAGCCAGGGGAGACAGTGCCTCTGTCAAACACCCCCCACCATGGGGTCTGTGGTCCTGCAGTGTGTGGGTCGGTGTGGGATGTATCCAGCCAGGAGCTCCCAGGAGACCTGCTCGTCCCATTTCCCGTAGCGTCCAAGGCGGGCTCAGGGTGTCCCGCCCCCCTCAGCTGAAGGCTGAGTCCCGAGGGACATGTGGGACCTCACCGTGCAGAGCCTGAGGAGCAGCTTGACGCCCAGCAAGGCTCTGGTAGCTGCAGAAGTCTGAGTTCAGTGTGAAGCCTGGTGGTTTCAGCTGTGCCTGTGACTCACTGTCGATAGCACAGCTGACCGCGCTCGCTGCAGGATCACCCGTGAGTCGGGAGGAGAGATTTAATATTGCAAATATGTGCACCCATCGCTGCTTAATTACATTGGTTTAGGCTGCCACGGGCTCTGCTTGGATAAAGCACTGGGAAAACCCAGCGAGAGCTGTTGTCTCTGTGCCCTCCCTCCGGCACGACCCTGGAGCACTGCCGGGCACGTGAGAGCTGCGGGAATGACGCTGGCATCGCTCAGCGAAACTCGCCTGAGGACTATTCAAATGAAAGCCATTCCCCTCTTTGAGAAGGGATGTTTGCCAGCACCCAGTGCAGCAGTGGGAGGAATATGTAGGTGGAAACTATTTGGAAGTGGCAAAATTTGTGGACATTAATAAGAGACTTTAGCCCACTTTGATACTGTGTTTAATAAAACATGCCGGCTTCCTGGTGACATCCTGCCCTGCCAAGCCCGGGCAGCCTGGAGCTCACGCTGTTTAACCAGTTCCCTGCTGGCTGGTTGCACCATCTCGTGAGAAAGAACCCCGGGCGAGCACACCCGGCACACCCCGGGGCTGCGCCGGCACCGAGCACGGCCCAGCCTCCGTCTGCACACGGCCTGGACAGGGAATAGGGAATGGGGGGCTGGAAGGGACCTTAAAGGTTATCCAGCTCCAACCCCCTGCCATGGGCAGGGACACCTTCCACTAGCCCAGGTTGCTCCAAGCCCCGTCCAACCTGGCCTTGGACACTCCCAGGGATGGGGAGTCCACAACCTAAGAGCCATTTCAGAGGTGACATCCGGGTGCTGCGCTGGCTGGGTGGTCTCTGCAGAGCTCAGGAGGAGCAGGGGATGGTGAGGGCTGATCCACTGTTTGAGGGGCTGGGAGGAGCAGGAGTCTCTTTGCCTGGTGACGCGTTGTCTGGTGGCTGCTCTGCACAGAGGGATCTGATCACATCTCTCCTCCTGCCTCACATCAAACAGTGAGTCAGCGCTGGAGCCCCATCAGATGTCTCTGCTTCGCCTTTCATATCTGGAAAGCAGAGAGGATGATGCTCTGAGTATGCAAAGCAAGGAAAGCAGGGTGCTTTCAGATCTGCCCCGTGGAAAATACCACGGTATTTATTCTGCACTGGCACCCACGTACCCCAGCAGGAATCAGCACCACCGGGGCTCAGAGTCTGGGGAGATGTTGATCTTTCTGGGGGATGCAGGTAACAACAGCCACGGGGCCAAACTGCATCACCTCTGAGTCAAATATTAACATAGAAAATACTCTGAACTTGCTAACTGGGTTAAAAAAATTAACACACACCCCTAAAAATAATAATAATAAAATAAAGAAGAAGAGCCCGAGAGTGTGTTCTTCCTGCAGTTCATGTCAGGACATGGATGAGTCCTCTCGCCTTGACCTCTGAACCCCAAGGCTCTGGATGTGGCACTTGGGGACATGGTTTAGGGCTGGCTATGGTGGTTCTGAGTTGATGGTTGGACTGGATGATCTTGAAGGTCTCTTCCAGCCTTGATGATTCTGTGGTTCTGTGTGGTTCTGGGAGGGGGCACATGGGGAGCCCAGCTGGACTTCTGCCAGGATGCCACCGACTCCTGTGGCTGGAGATAAGAGAGAACAAGCCTGAGTGCTGCACGTGGACTTGCTCATCCCAGCCTGGTGTTTGTGTGTTCCTATGGGATCAAGTACCTGCTTGCAAGTGTGTGGGATGCCCCATGGCTGGCCAAGGGCTGCAGTTGTCTGCGTTAACCAGGGTCTGCTTAAGGCAGGTGGATGTCTGGTTGGGAGAGGAAAAGGGATCATTGGCACTCCAACTCATCAGGACTTAATTAACATTTGGCCCCTTCCAATAAATGGATGCAAAGAAAATGAAGTCAGAAGGGGAAGTGCAGGTGCACAAGCTCATTCGCACCAGGCCAGACAAATCATACACATTGTTTCCTAGTCAGGCAGACTTAAAAAACCCTTGGACACAAATATCATTCAGCTCTGGGGCAGTCTGGAGCAGCCGTGGGAGAATGCAACCCGTCATTTTCTAAATAAGAAGCCAAACCTCTGAATCCAGATCCTCCTCCTCCCAAAGTCCCGGTCTGATCCCATGTGCATCACGAGCCAGATGTGGCTTGGGCATTACTGCTGCTGCAAATTCAGCTGAAATAAGCACAAACAGGAATTAAATGGAATAGGAAATATTCACGGTGGATTTGTGCCTAATCAAGATTACACACAGCTCTGCTGACTGTGCTCCTCTGGCAGGGAGCCGGACCCCTCCTGGATCCCTCCAGGATCCCTCCCTGACACACAGAGCCACCTAAACTGCACCTCGGGTGGAACATGCCCGTATTTGGGGAGAAAATACAGCCCACTAGGACAGAGAGAAAGGCAAAGGACACCCAAGGCATCCCTACGAGCAGTAGTAGTTGACAGGAATGTCTCTCATAGTGCCCTTCCCTCTGTATCAGCAGGGATCTGGCTGAGAAGTCCTGGAGCAAACCACAACTGAGGGTGTTGTTGTCTTCCCCAAATACTTTCTCTAATGAGGTTTTTAAATAGTTTTGCCCCGCCTACACTGGCAGCCAGAGCACTTTCATCTCCAGGTGAATGGGAACCGAGGTGGGACTCAGCTGTCTGCCGGGAGGATCATTTCCATATTGCAGGAGGCGGGAGGAGAACCCGCGCAGGGGCAGGGAACGCTCCGGCTCCTCTCGGAGCTCATCCCGGCACAAATATTCACCTCGTGCACCGCTGTTTGAAATGCAAAGAGCTCCCCGGCAGTGTGGGCCGGCGGGACAGGGGGTGCCTCTCGGTTACACCCTCACGCCGATGAGAACGGCCAGGAGCCAGCAGGTACCCGCTGGAAAAATGAGGTTTGTGAGCAGGACTCAATTTGTTACAACCTGCTCCGAGTAACCACACACCTTTCGTTCTTAGGTGGCAAAGATCACGTCTATCCCAGAGGGTTCGTGGTGGGTGTGGAAGTACTTTCCAGAGAAGCGCCTCTCGCCCCCTCCCCAGCGCTGGCTGCCGGCGGAGCGGCGCTGACGTCGCTGGAGGCGAGTGCTCGCCCACCCGCTCTCAGCAGCCGGGAGAGCCCGAGACTCACAGAATCACCGAGGCTGGAAAAGACCTTCAAGATCATTAAGATCACCCTGTGCCCGGTGTCCACCTTGTGCCCCAGCCCAGAGCACTGACTGCCACGTCCAGTCCTTCCTTTGGCACCTCCAGAGATGGGGACTCCACCACCTCCCTGGGTAGCCTGACAGCCTTTTCCAGGAAGAAATTCCTCCTGATGTCCAGCCTGACCCTCCCCTGGCACAGCTTGAGGCCACGTCCTCTCATCCTGTCACTAGTTCCTGGGAAAACAGGCCGACGCCCCCCTGGCTCCACCCTCCTGTCAGGGAGTTACTGAGAATGAGAAGGTCCCCCCTGAGCCTCCTTCTCTCCAAACTTGTCTCCACAGAGTTGTCTCCCATGGGGATCATGAAACTATAGAATAGCCTGAGTTGGAAGGGACCCACAAGGATCATCCCGTCCAGCTCCTGGCCCTGCACAGGAGGACACCCCAAGAATCCCACCAGAGTAGGCACCGTGTTGGCCTCACACAGCTGCTCTGCGGGGCTGAGTGTGGGGTCTGACAGGTCAGACAGGGCTCTGAGCACTTCTTCTAAGGGAAAAGGAATAATTTCATCCCAAAATATCCATGTGGGCTATATCTCAATCATCTGGGGAAATAGAAACGGCCACACAAGCTCATTACAACTGTCCCTTCTCATTTTATAAACTGCATGTCCGTGGGATGGAAATAAAGTCCCAGCCCTGGACAGCTGTGAACATCTGCAGCTGCTGCCCAGATGTGGTTGCCTGGAGCCTGTGCAGAGGTTTCAGGGGAAAACCCCCATCTGCCTCTCACAGAACACCAAAACAGAGGACAGAGGTTTCGCTTCATAAACCTCGACCAAGGAGACATTAAGTGCCTTTGATCTCCAGATAGAAAGATGATCTTTTGATTTCAGATTATGAAAAGGAATAACCATCTGCTAAGGAACAGCTCCGGACCCACGTTTTATTGAGGCCAGATGGTGTCCAGGGTTCCTACGTATGAATTCAATTAGCTGCTTGTGTCTGCGTCAGTGAGTCTGTATCCACCCAGTCATGTTTTTGGAACAAATATTGTAATATTCCCATGGATCCTCCAGACAGTGGGAGGTGTTTCCTTCACTGTGAAGGTTTTGGGAAGTGATGACTTTGTCTCATTTTCATCTTGCCCTCTTCTGCATTTCTAGTCCCTTGGTTCTCAAGGCTCAGGGCTTTCCCTGGATCTCTGAGCCAGCTGTGCTGAGTAAAGACATCCCTGATTCCAGTTTGCCCATCAGGGCTGACATTTCGGCCCCAGGGAACCTCTGCCATGCACCTCTCCTACCCTGGGACTGAGTTTACAGGGTTATTTGGAATATAATCCAAATATTATATTCCTAAGACAGACCTGCTCCAATCTCCTTTCCACAGTGCTTACCAGGGGTTTACTCAGGGCTTACCTCTGCTGAGGGTAAGGTACCTCTTGCCACCACCTTGCAATCTGGAAGGGTGGCACGATGGGAAGGCCTTTCCCAGGATGCAGAGGGTGGGAATGACCAGTTGCCTGACCAGCCACCACCCCCGGCATGGACAGACTTCCTGCCCGGACAGCCTGGCTCTGCAGAACCCAATTAGCTCCTCTCATCTTTCCAATCTAATAATCTGGAACTCCCTGTTGTTTTTTTTATAAAGGTGTGGCTCAGCACCACATGATACACTCAACAAGCTGCATATTTGCACTGATTTCCCTCTTTACAGTGTTGGAAGTGGGGGAACTCTGTTGTGGGAATGGGCTGAGCAGCAGCCCCGAGAGCAGCAGGTTGTGATTCATGGCTGGAAGGGCCTCACTCACAACTCACACCTTCCTCTGCATCCTGGGAACTCACCTGCACAAGAGACAGCCTTGCAAAAGGCCCCTGAGTAGGAAGTATCCTCAGCAAAGGGACCTCGCAACTTGTTGTTTTTTCTTGACTTTCTGGGGAGGGAAGGGGCTGTGAAGCTAAATTGTTATTTATAGACACATTTCTCCCAAGGTTTCCTTTTCCCCTCCTCTTTCTGTGCACACACAAGTGCACACAGACGCTGCAGGTCTCACCACCCCCAGGCCTGGCTCAGGGGCTGGAGTCAGGGTCTGCCACTGCCCACAGTCTTTGTTTCAGGGTCTCTCACCCGTGACCTGTGTTTGACTCTGGTTTCACATCACGGGGAATGCTGGAAGGTCCATCCGCTCCCTGCCTTTCCAGCCATGGAATCCATGGTCCATCTGGGCACGCTCTGGCTGCTGTGCCTGGGAATCCCCGAGGGGCAGCTTTCCGGGCTGGCCCTGCTGCTCCCGCTGCACGGCTGTGATTAGAGCCTTATTACCAAATTACAGGATTATAAGCATAATAGCGCACAGAGAAACTACTCATGTCCAATGATTTCTCCTGTTAAAAATGAAATACAAGCCCTTTAGCAGATGGGTTCCTAAAGAAGAGCTCTGAAGGAGCAGCCATGAGGGAAGAGCTGCAGAGAGGAGGGATGAGAAAATAGAGCAGGTTCTCATTAGGGTGCAATGCGTGTGATAATTACTTGAGGAAGCATGAGGGAAGGCAGGGCTCATTTCATCCTGGATCCCACAGTGACTGCAGGCTCCCTGTGTGCAGCTGCTGCAAACCTGGAACACGATTTTGCAGCTCTGCCCAACCCAAGTATCCCTGGCTCCTTCCTTCCCAGGAATTCTCAGGAACCCTTATCTGATCCAACACGCCACTCGGGGATTTTCCTTCCCCTTGATGCTGAACTGCTCGATAAAGCAGTTATTGCTCCAAAACCAGGATTCCAGGCAGCTGGAATCATAAGTCATAAACACAGATTACTAAACTTCACACTGTACTCGTCACCTTCCATTGAAAAACTCCTGCTCATCCCACCATGCCATTCCCACAGATCCTGGATTTCCATCCTCACACTGTGTCTTACTCAAGAGACCCACCAAAGCTCCTTGGATCTGCTGGCAGGTCCTTTGGGATTCCCTTACCACAGCAGGTGGCAGCTTTTGGGCTCCCAAACCTCGAAGCAGAACCTTCCAGAAACGCTAAATCCACCCACCCCTCCCCTCTGCCATCACACGTTACCAACGTCACCCATTTCAAACCATTTTGAGGAAGGTTAAGAGTTGGCTGGTTGTAGCCAAAGCTGTGACTAATATTTTTGGGGGAAAGTACTTTATGTCAAAACAAGTGAGTAGTGAAGTGGAGACATGTGGTGCAGAGATGTGGGAAGGAGGGAGGGGCTTTTTGGTGCCAAATTTCCCTGTTCCCTAAAGGGAGAACCCAAGTTGCCTTATTTCTTCATGTAGAATGAGACAGAGAAGGAAAACTTCCTGCTTTATTTCTTTTAGAACCTCATATTTCTAGAAAGCTGCTGAATCACCCCCTTTATGATATGTCGTCATGGAAAAGGGTCCCTTGGCTTGCACTGGTGGCCTGGGCCAACCCCCCCTGTGGGCTCCAGAGCTGTTGGAGCCATCGGAGCCCCTCACAGTCACCCCCAGAGCCCAGCCCAGCGCAGGCTGGAGCTGCCACTGCCCCAGAACAATCCCTTTTCCTCATGGCTCCTTCCCACAGCCAGAGGCTGCAGCTTTCAGGCTTTCCAAGCCTTTTTCCCAGCCACAGCAAGGTGTGCAGGCACCTGGAAAAGCAGTCAGTGGGCTCCATCCCCAGGGAGAGCCGATGCATCCAGGCTCATTCCTTACAAGCCAGAGTCAGGTGTGTTCTACGGAAACATGTGGGCTCTGTGACTTTGTCAGTGAAATATAACCAATTAGTTTTAGTCATTTAGAGCAGGCAAAGGACTCAGCCCACAAAACTGCTTTGCTTCCCAAAGTTATTCAAGCCCTATGGAGCCACATACATTTGCTTATTAACGAAGTGACTGTGCTGGCCGAGCCTCCTCCCGCCCTCCGGAGCCGAGTGTGGTGTGGGAAGAGGCAGAGCCCTTCATGTCCCGGTGCCTGCGGAGGCTCAGCTGCAGAGCTCATTTCCTATTTACATCCCCAAAAAGCCCAGTTCAGCACAGGCTGCTGCCTCTGCAGCCAGCAAGGTGCGTTCTGCAGGTGTGGGTGGGTGATTCACCCACAGGTTATCTGCGTCCTCCGGCTCCCGGTGCTTCCCCAGCCCAGGCAATTCCAAGCACACCCAAATAAAGTCCCAAATCAGTCCTGTCTGGCCTCACCCTCTTTCTCAGCAGAGGGTTTGGATGGTTTCCACGTCTCATTTTGCCTTCCTCCCAGAGGAAGTCCGCCCTACAAGCAACTCCCTGTGAAGGCCTGAGCCAGAAGGTCAGACCTCGCCTGCTGTCCTGCTCTCCTGATTTCTCCTGATGAGAGTAACAACCTCCAAGTCTCTCCTACATCCCAGATGGGTTTTCCTCTTCCCCATACACAGCATTCCCTTCCCGGAGCAGCCCAGTTACCTCCTCCTGCCCCCATTAACCCCTCTCAGCCCTGACACTCCCTGCTCTCAGTGGCACAGCCTGGATGGTGGGAGTCCCAGGTGAGCTCTGGAGCTGGGGGGGTCACTGGGGGGCTAATACCTGTCCCCACTGATAACTACAGTGAGACAGCAGGGAATGAGGAACTGCACGTGGAAGTGAAACCTCCCATGGCATCCCCCTTTTAGCAGGGCCTGTTGTGACATGACAAGGGGGAATGGCTTCCCACTGTCAGAGGGCAGGGTTAGATGGGATACTGGGAAGGAATTCCTCCCTGGGAGGGTGGGGAGGCCCTGGCCCAGGTTGCCCAGAGAAGCTGTGCCTGCCCCTGGATCCCTGGAAGTGTCCAAGGCCAGGTTGGACGGGGCTTGGAGCAACCTGGGCTGGTGGAAGGTGTCCCTGCCCATGGCAAGAGGTTGGAATGAGATGATCTTTAAGGCCCCTTCCAACCCAAACTATTCCATGATTCTATAAACAGCTGCCTGAAGCCTGTCAATTTTGGCTACTCTTTCAAAACTCATCGGAAATACTAAAATACACTGATTTTGGTTTGCCATCCCTGGGGAACAGTGGTATTGTTCCCAGCCAGCAGTGAGGAGCTGTCAGGATGCCCAGACCATGACATGACTGGCTCAACGCCTCTGACAACCCCAGTTTCACTGGAAATG